GCACAGAATTTTGCGTTTTTTGAAAACGAAAAGTACATAATTGAAATAAGCTTTACTTTGTAGATTGTAGAGCTTTTCACGCTGCATCTTACAGTATATTTTTTTTTTTATCGAAACATATTAATTGATAAAAGATGAAATAAGGAAAAAGGAATTTCTTGTTCGCATAGAAACAAATGATTTTTTCGCAGCGTCGAAAACTGGTTGCACAGAATTTTGCCTTCTTTGAAAACAAAAATTACAAAATTAAAACAAGGTTTACTTTGTAGATTATAGTTCTTTTCACGCTGCATCTTGTGGTATATTTTGTTTTTTCTAAACAACGCATTAAGTGATGCGAAAATGAAATAGAAAAAGGCAATTTTTTTTGTCCGCGAGAGATTTAAAACTTCATCACATCGGTATAGTCGAATGATAGGATAACAGACCTTCAATCTCTTTTTCTCGGTTTTGTGCTACTCGTATATGATAACAGGTGGGACAAAAGTTTTGCATTAATTTTGCTTTTGCTACTGCTTGCCAAGGAAACATTGTTGGGTATGTGGGGTGTGGGTGGGTATAGGTGTGGACGTGGGTGTGGGCATGCGGTTCTCGGTGTGGGTAGTAGTATCGCGATAAATTCATGGCACATATACACCCTCACCCCACCTACACCCACATCTGCACCCCATTCTAATTCATATTTTCTTTAAACATTTAAGTAAAACATGATAGTAACATTCACAGCTGAGCAAATTCGAGTAGATTTTGGTGATACGCCTACTCCCCAAGAAGACAAAAATTTTCAAAAACGCATTTAAACGCACAAAAAAGTGGACGTATTTGGCTCACAATCACCGTTTCCGAATGTCAGAACAAAGCAACCACTTTTTGCTCTTTTTGCGCGTTTAAACGCATTTAAACGTATAAAACGATGATTAAAAGTTGTTATCTTTTTCATACTCGTAAATCGCAATCATAATTACAGTCACAGTTCATGCAAAGAAAAAAGATAACAACATTTTATGCTCTTTTTATGCGTTTATATGTGTTTACAAGCGTGTTTTTGCTGAAAACACGTTTAAACGCACAAAAAGGGAAAAATGTGGTTGTTTTTTTTCTGGCAGTCAGGAACCACGATTGTGAGCCAAACACGTCCACTTTTTTTGGATTTTAAGCCCTTTTTTATGTGTTTAAACGCTTTTTTGAAAATATTTGACTGTTTGGGTCGCACTCATAGTCCTACTCAGGGGTGCAACAAATACTGAATAGATTTGGGGCTTGGCCTTGAATTTATAAAAACAAGTAACGCGACGCAAACGTCGCTAACCCTCTACTGAAAGGATGTGATCTCGCTAAACCTATGGTATTCAAGCAGAGAAATATTAGAACTAATGTGATGGTATGCTTCTATGAAAAAGTAAATTGCGCTCGTCACCAAGACTCTCTTAATAACCGTCTGAATTTAATCTAACCATCGTATCTCATCGTTTACTGAGTTCTGTTTTGAGAACTATCGCTGAACACGTGCACTTATACCCAAGCACTGTTTATTATCTTATCAAAGGCAACCGTTTTGTAAAAAAACCCGAACCTTCCTGTTAAGACTGTGTAAAATGAACTTTAATTGACAACTCACCCTATGTCACCGTCGTCCTAACACCGACCATCACTCCCGACCGCTCGAATTCGCGTATGATCCGAGTAGTATTTAAAGTGATGCTTCATTTTTTTGTTTCGGACATTTTTAGTATTGTGCAGAAACCTATAAAAATGAATTTCATATTCTCATGTTACCTATGAACTCCGCATAGTGAAGGTAATAAGAAGATTAGTAAATGTAAAGCAATTAGAATCGATATTTTATGTGATGTAGTGAGAGTGGAATTCATAAGAATGCTATACTAATTCTCACGGTCTCTATTCTTGGAAAGGCTTGTCTTATAGTTCACTCGAGTTCTTGAGAAATTTGTTTCATGAGATCTTTGTTTGGTAATTATTTGATGCATTTTAGATTTATCGCTGTTCAAGTTTTCTGAAACAATAAATGACATATTTTCCTTGGATGAATATGACTGATGTGAATAAGTATTATTGTAAGCAGCAGAGACCTAATTATATTTTTGGATCGGTACTCTTCCGATTGAGACTCATTCAATAATCAGTATACAAGTGAGACTCATTCTATGCGTTCGCTGATCATTTTGTAACATAGACAAGGAGGTTGCTGCACCTACACGAAGTAGTGTTCGTCTAAATTCCATCACAGTTACTTGATCGATGATGTTTCCTGTTATCGCTCACATCTTCCTATATTCTCTTTATATTTTCTTCTAAGATCTTTTTCGGTCTTACCAGAAAAATTCAGCTGCAGGTAAGTTGCCATAGTTATTCNGCAGCCAGAGTAGTTTTTTCTCCTTGAAAACTCAAGGTTCGGTTAGAATATAATTCTAGTTGCAAGCCTGACTGATCAGTATTCAATACGTAATCAGCATTATATTTTTTTATTATTTTTTGAGCATTTGAGACAAAATCATTAGCAGATATATAGATTTCCTGCTCATTTTGAACCTCTCGTTTGGTTATTTTTCTCGAGCAAATATTGTACCGATATTTGAAATCAAAAAGCCATTTTTCACTGGCAACAAAATCGTTCAAAAATATTTCTTTAGCTTTTCTTAACCCCCACCGTTGCAGATCAATATCATGAACTGAAAGTAGCTTTCCACGAACATTTTCAAACGACTCATAAACAAAAGCGTCAATTTGATTTATTTTATGTCTTTTCGTACGTCCCGATGCCAAGTATTTTCGAAAATGTGTAATATAACCTCTGTTAGGAACTCTTTTGAAGTGACGGTGGAACAATTTCCAAGAATGTTTTCTTTTACCGGTTTTACTATTTTTTTCATCATAAAACCGCACTGCCTTATCCATATATTCTAAAGAATACTGATTTAATAGAGTATTTTTTTATCCCTGTTATTAATTGTATAGTCTGTCTTGTCTAATTCATTCATAGTAGTTTCCTCACTATCTGTATCGGACTCTTCTGTGTCCGAGTCAAGATCAACATCATAGTCAAGAGTACTTTCGTTTTCAAAATGATATGTCGTACTATTCATAATTGTGTTAATATTATCGAAGAGACGTTCTGCTACTTCTTCGTCTTTAACAAAAAATGTAGTTGATTCACTAGAGGGTAATCGCCTTGAAACTAAATTCGAAAGAATTCGAACAACATTATGTGCATTTATCATTGTTCTTTGGTTTATGATAAGGAGTAATCGAATGGCTCACCAACGAGCTGTTAGTAAAGAGAAATGTGTGTAATGAAAAAAGGAGCAAAGAAGGTATCTATATGATCGTTGCAAAATTAATGGTCTCCAGAATCAATGGTGAATTCCGTAAAATGTCTTGTATTATAGTTTAATGACACAAAATTATGTTTAAAGTTGATAGGTGCTAAATGCATTTATGAAAAAAAATTAAGCTAATAATTCATTGTTTTACTGACGTGAGAAATGAAAATTTTAGCGTTATGTACCTTACTATATAGAAAACGAAAAACTTCATAACTTTTGAAAGAAGCAATAAGAGCCCAAATCCTCTTAGTCTTTTTCTTACTATGATAACGCCTACATATGGGCAAAATATGGAGGCAAACGGAGCGGATCACTTGGGAATGTTCCCTCGTTAGATTTTTATAAGTTAAGTAGATACTCTGTATAGATTATTATATCTTGCGTATGTTTTCTATATTTTCTTTTTTGAAAATTAGAATTCATTCGAACAGATATAGCAGAGTCATGGCCATCTGATGAGACCCTTTAGCAAGGTCGAAATCTAGATCTTGGCAGCTTTATCACACCCACCCTCTATCATTACTTCGAATTTCCTTTCTAAGGAATTCAAAGTAACAGTATATGACTAGTACTTAGGATTTCCTTTTCGAAATTCTCTAGTACGATTGCCATCTGATGAGACCCTTGAGCAAGGTCGAAACCGGTCATGGCTGCTTGTCACACCCACATCCCACACTCACACCTTTATGCATAAAAACAACTTGATGCTAGAGGTGTAAGCCGCGTGGCTGAGCCGCTGTCGCCACCCGCGTAAAAGTAGAAATTTTAGAAACTTTTAAGCCGTCAACGCTGAGGAATTTGATTATAGTTGCCGATGGTATTCGAAATTTTAAAACTTTTGAGCCGCTTCTACTGTGCACCATGGGAATATCGTATATGCGCCGCCGATTATTTTTAAAAAAATCTAAAAAATTTGCGCCGCCGCCGATTAGCTTGCCGGCGTACATTTCGAGACCTTAGCATACCGAGCTTCACACTATGTATCGTGATATCTATTGTTCATTTGTTCGCTACTAATAAATATAGATAAAGTTATTTTCTTGATGATTCTTTGAAACAATTCGAACTAATACGCTGGGGTAGAACACCAACTCGAGAATGTTCTTTTCGAAGACTAATCCTTCCTGAATATATTAATGCATAAACACTTACAAATTGACCCAGCGAATAATGACAATTACAACCTACCTGATGATCAATCCTTATGCAAGATTCTAAACGCGTTATCGAGTGTCTTAATCTTTTCCAAGAAACTCACCTTCATGATCCCGACTTGATCGTTTTTTTGAACTTTCATGAAAGGCAGTTTAGATGTAGTTTTCAAGATTAATGACAAAAAAGTCAATTTTATCCAATTTTGGCATTCTTTAATGGCATTTCCAAGATGTCTACTGACAAAGTTCCGTTAGTTATGTTAGAATAACACGGAAAGGCTAAATATGTAGAAACTAAGAAGATAAATCATCAAGGGAATGAAAGTAGGACCGCCAGATTGATTTGAAGTCGTAGCATTGGTGATGGTTTGGTTTTTATCAAAGCAATCAAAAAGTTGAGTCATGATGTTCACCAAAGCATTTCCAGCTTCCATTGTGTGAGAAGTATTCGTCGAAAGATCTCCAGTTGATAATAAAATAGCTCCTAAACTTCTTTTCTCATTAGCCAACATTAGGTTTGTAGCACCAATCAACGATCCCTGATGTCCAATTAGGCGCCGTTTACCTATAGTTACCCAGTTCCATATGAGTCCATATTCAGAGGGTAATCCAGTCGGGTAACTTTCCTGTGGGGAAACGTAGACCATTTGCTCTACTGATGACGAATTGCGTAGCAGAGTAGCAAAATTTTTCAAGAATGCTTGAAGAAAGAGGCTCAGACCGCGAGCCGACATGCGTGCATAACCAGAAGCGTACAAGCTTGAACCGTGAAAAGGAATATAAATCCATCTAGAGTCTCCTACCTAATAAACAAAAATTGCTAATAGACTTTTCTATGGCGTGCGAGAGAAAAAGTATTGCTCATCAAAAGACCGCTTCAGAACTTACTTGAGTAGCATTTAGATGTCGTAAAAAGACATCAAGTTCTGCAGATATTGATTCATTGTATAAATAGTTACGAACAAGATACTTTTGATCAAAATTGCTCAGTCGATAACCGCCCATTTTGTCGGTAATACCCAATGGTTTCAATATTTTTTCCTGAACATAGTGTTCAAATCGCATGCCAGCCAAACGTTCAATAATATATGCTGCTAAATTAGTACCCACATTTGAGTAAAAAGTTTTGTTTCCAGGTGGAATAGGTAACCAGCCAACCGTACTATTGAAATATTTTTTAAGAACATCGCCCAAATTTATTTGTCTGAAAGTATCATTAAGCGTATAAGACTCAAGTTCTACTGCAGCATTGACTCCAATACCAGATGCATGCATCAGCAAATGTCGCATGGTGATTGAAACATTAGGATATTGTGGATGTACAATGTTCAGATCAGGTGCCAAGTATTGATTGATGTTTGCATCGAGATTCAGATGATTGGCTTCCACCATTTGCATAGCTGCTACAGCAATGAATGTCTTTGAAATGGAAGCCAAAAGGAAAATCGAATCTGAGAGATCTATCTGTCGGCGTTGGCTTGAAGGCAAAGGACTGTCATAACCGAAAGCTTCTTCATAGACGATGCCATTCGCGTCGACAACGACCAATGTCGCACCGTACATCAAAGCTTTGTCAAGAGTCGGTTGTATCGATGATACTGTGGGAGGACATGGGCATTGCTTGGTCTCTGCCTTTATCCAAGCAATGAGAAAGAAAAGCAAGTAGATTTGCATGATAGATCGACCGTTTACAACCAGATACTGCTCTACTACTATTAAGATATCTATATATACAGACAAAGAACAAAGTAATTATAACTCATACTTATCGAGATAGAACGAGTTACAATAAATGCGAAAGATTTTCTCGATGTTCTTGATATGGTTTAGGTGAAATTTGACTGTCCTTTAAAGTATCGCTGATATTTAGGACGTATTAAGAGTAAAGTCAATATGTTGTTCTATTGAAATGTATTACTTTACTCAGGCTTTTTTTTACATATAATTTGTCTCTGATGTACAGAGTGTATTGATCGTTAGATTACCTTCCAACGTGTGCACTTTTTATCCCTCGATACGAAGTATTCTCCGCTTTCAAACTGCATATGATTCGCTTTTTAACGACAATACATAAACAAAACACTGAAAGTAGACAATAGAAATATCGCCGAATTGACATTATGCTTCTCATAAATTCGAGAGCGATTAGTGAGCTAAAATGATTATTCTTTTTCTCATTCTTACTCAGTCTTCTCAACATCGTCTCATGTCCAAAGGATTAGTAACAAGTAACACGACGCAAACGTCGCTAACCCTCTACTGAAAGAATGTTATCTCATTAAACAAATATTATTCAAGCAGAAAAATATTAGAACTAATGTGATAGTACGCATCTATGAAAAAGTAAATTGCGCTCGTTACCACGACTCTCTTGATAGCTGTTTGAATTTAATCTAACCATCGTATCTCATCGTTTACTGAGTTCTGTTTTGAGAACTATCTCTGAACGCGCGCACTTATACACAAACACTGTTTACTATCTTATCAAAGACAACTATTTTGTAAAGAAGACCGAACTTTTCTATTAAGTCTGTGTAAAATGAACTTTAATTGACAACTCACCCTATGTCACCGTCGTCCTAATACCGACCATCACTCCCGACCGCTCGAATTCGCGTATGATCCGAATAGCATTTAAAGTGATGCTTCATTTTCTTGTTCGGGACATCTTCAGTATTGCGCAGAAACGTGTGAAAATGAATTTTATATTCTGATGTTGACTATGAACTCCACATAGTAAAGGTAATAAGATGATTAGTAAATGTAGAGCAATTAAGATCGATATTTTATATGTTGTAGTAAGAGTAGAATTCATAAGAATGTTATACTAATTCTCACGGTCTCTACTCTGGAAAATGCTTGTCTCATAGTTCAATCGAGTTCTTGAGAAATTTGTTTCATGAGATCTTTGTTTGGTGATTATTTGGTGCATTTTATATTTATCGCTGTTCAAATATTCTGAAACAATAAATGACATATTTTCCTTGGATGAATATGACTGATGTGAATAAGTATTATTGTAAACAGCAGAGACCTAATTATATTTTTGGATCGGTACTCTTTCGATTGAGACCCATTGAATAATCAGTATACAAGTGAGACTCATTTTGTGCGCTCGCTGACCGTTTTTTAATACAGACAAGGAGGTTGCTGCGCCTATACGAAGTAATGCTCGTCTAAATTCCATAACGGTTACTTGATCGATGATGTTTCTTGTTATCGCTCACATCTTCCTATATTCTCTTTATATTTTCTTCTAAGATCTTTTTCGGTCTTACCAGAAAAATTCAGCTACAGGTAAGTTGCCATAGTTATTCTCGGTTTGTAACTCTTTGTAGCTGTGTGCTTATTTCGTGTAGTAACACACATAAGCGTATGGCAAAAGCTATCTCGTAATATCCTGATCAGAGATGGACAGCTGCGACTCCGGAGTGCCCTCTCCATGAAGCTAGCTTCGCTTCAGGAGCAGAGCGATGCGATGCGTTAGAATGGTGGAGCTGGAACAGAGTCGGAGCGGATTCTTTTTAACTGACAGCGAAGTCGAAACCGAGCGCCTCGTGAACAAAATAGAGCCGGAGCAGAATCAGAGCGATCTTTTTTCTAGCTCCAAAAGTGTGCTCATTTTGCTGTTACTTCTGTAAACAAAGACGGAAGAATTAGTGAGACAAAAGCTCGTCATCGAGTATTTATTGCAGCGAATATGCCATTGTTACACTTTAATCAATGACAATGCTTGAGGCAGTACCTAACCATTCATATAGTCGATTGTTATACAGCTTATTTGACTGCGCTATTTTTAGTTTGAAAATATAAGAATGAGACACTGATGAAGAGATAAAATGAAATATTATGGGATCTATAAGAAATAAGCGATGGCAAAACAGGACAAATTTCTCATTAAGCTGAAAATTGAATGAACAAACTTTCGTATGGCAAAACAATCATATAACTGATCGTCATCGTTAACCAAGCAAGATGATGACTTCAAGGAATAATCTTCTTATCCATACTTGAACCAGCCTACTACAAGGATACTTTACACCGACTATCTTCGCTATGGCTGAAAGGTTGTTTTCCCCGAGCGGGCATTCATGTGTCCTCATCACAGTCGATTCCCTAAGAGTCATTGTACGATAGTCACGACCAATCGTGCCAAATTCATCTCACAGATTTCAATAAAATTATGCCTGTATGTAGACTCAGGTGAGATATGAAAAAGTCTAAAATTCTAGCTTCTAAAATTGTTTCCTTCTTGAGATATTGCAATCACAATGAAGGCACCGTCAGCTAAAAAATGACGATAACCAACGCAGTACCTACTCAGTGTATAATTCGCCATTTTTCAACCATCATTCTTTTAGCATGAAACTTTGAGGATATATACTACCATTAGTATCCCACAGATTGACACAATCAAAACCATTTTTCAACTTGTTAGGCGTAGGGTGGGAAGTTACCGTTACCGTTCCTGGGAACTGGTAACTTTTTCGTTCCCAGTTACCCGGGAACAGTAACGGCCCGTTACCGTTCCTGGGAACTGGTAACTTTTTCGTTCCCAGTTACCCGGGAACAGTAACGGCCCGTTACCAGTTCCCGGGAACGCGGGAACGGTCAGGAGAGTGTCAACCGTCATAAAACCCGTAGAGTCCGTTCACAAGTCCTACTATTGGAGGGTACCCTTGGGTCCTAAACCCTCTGTTGTGTGATACCATTCGGCCATCAAGTGCTAGTGTTGCGCAGAACTCTCTAGCCCTCAGGTTCAATGGCCAGCCATGCGGCTACCCTTGGCCCAACCTGTGCAAGTGCTGCGCGCAGTCCTCTATTTCTCAGATTCAAGGACCAGCCATGCGGCTATCATTGGCCCAACAATAGAACTTGAGGACCCAAGGGTACCCTCCAATAGTAGGACTTGTGAACAGAGGCTACGGGTTTGATGACAGTAGACTCTCCTGACCGTTCCCGCGTTCCCAGGAACGGTCTGGGAACGGTAACTTCCCACCCCTAGTTAGGCGGCATAGAGATATTTAATAGGTTCTAGATATTCGCTCTACATTGTGATCGGAATTTCTATTGCTTATGAGCGAGTTATGAGCTTCCAATTTGGAAGGAAGTACTACTATCCAGTAATTATTAGAAACAATTTTCAAAACCTTGGTGTCTTGATTTTTGATTCGAACAAAAACCTTTCCTGGTGTACATATGAACTGACTTGGGTTAAAATTGGGATCCATTTCCAGATAAGCTGCTCAGTAGCGATTAGGAGTGTATCACTCACGCTCATGAGCGTGAGCCTTGCTGACTTATCGAAAGCGCGAGTGTCTCTATTCACTTTTTTCAACTATATTTCCTAAAAATCGATCTTGACGACTTTTATGCCTGGATCCCTCTCAGATATCCCAAAAAAATTTTCTCGTCGTTCGGTTACAAGTCCTTATATTTCGATAGCTCTACGTATGCTGATTCTAAATATCATATAACTTTATGAAAGTACTCGGATAATAAGAAAAATATGAAGCATTCACTGGAAGCCTTAAAAACCAGTCTTTGCCTCAAAAGCTAATTAAATTTCAGTTTATATTCATCGCAGATAGATCGATTCGATACAGAATTCTTTTCTCTCTTAGAATTTGTAAGAATGAATATAACATTTATTTACTTGCCTACTAAAATATGATCAATGTCGTCCCAATTTGGTGATATTTTTGAAAAATAACGATTTTTGCTGCCTTATGAAGTTGAATTTCGTTCCTCTATATCAGCAATATTTTATTTTGCGAAAACAAAATTCTATATCTACTCTTACTTGCTATATCATATTAACTTGATATTCGATGACTGAAGATTTACTTTTCTTATAAGTGCTCGTAATCATAACAAATAGAATGCTTTTTTGCCAATATTTGACGGTTTTCGAGCAGAAGAGTTCGTCTTTCACCTGTGAATAATATCATATTTCGATTCAGCACAAAAAAAGCTTGTTAGCGCAACTCGTTTGAGGCTGAAATTTGGAACTAACGCATGCTCGGCAACCATGTTATCCTAATGGATCATTTGTGAACTGAAAAGTTTCCTGTCGACTATAGATCTTTTGACTAATAATTGATAACAACAGCGAGAATCTATTTTTTGTTTCCAAAGTTACAACTGAAAATTTCTTTTTCGTTTCAGACCTCCTGATTTCATTGATAATTGTTGCAATACACTAGGAGAGAGGATATGGGTGTGGGTATGGATAAAAAATGTACCCATAACAACACCCACACCCCTATTTTATTCATTCACCTTTATGCTATAAGAATGATTCAACTCATTCGTCCTTAACTCTTACAGACCTCTTCTTGGAACAATACAATTGAATTATGCATTTCCGGTTGGAAAAGTCATTTATTCCA